CCCATCATTGGTATCAGTGGGAGGAATAGTGCCCCACCATTGGTGTCAGTGGTATGAATAGTGCCCCATCATTGGTATCAGTGGGAGGAATAGTGCCCCATCATTGGTATCAGTGGTATGAATAGTGCCCCATCATTGGTATCAGTGGTATGAATAGTGCCCCATCATTGGTATCAGTGGTATGAATAGTGCCCCATCATTGGTATCAGTGGTATGAATAGTGCCCCATCATTGGTGTCAGTGGGGGGAATAGTGCCCCATCATTGGTGTCAGTGGGAGGAATAATGCCCCATCATTGGTATCAGTGGTATGAATAGTGCCCCATCATTGGTATCAGTGGGGGGAATAGTGCCCCATCATTGGTGTCAGTGGTAGGAATATTGCCCCATCATTGGTATCAGTGGTATGAATAGTGCCCCATCATTGGTATCAGTGGGAGGAATAGTGCCCCATCATTGGTATCAGTGGGAGGAATAGTGCCCCATCATTGGTATCAGAGGGAGGAATAATGCCCCATCATTGGTGTCAGTGGGAGGAATAGTGCCCCATCATTGGTATCATTGGGAGGAATAGTGCCCCATCGTTGGTGTCAGTGGGAGGAATAGTGCCCCATCATTGGTATCAGTGGGAGGAATAGTGCCCCATCATTGGTATCAGTGGGAGGAATAGTGCCCCATCATTGGTATCAGTGGGAGGAATTGTGCCCCATCATTGGTGTCAGTGGGAGGAAGAGTGCCCCATCATTGGTGTAAGTGGGAGGAATAGTGCCCCATCATTGGTATCAGTGGAAGGAATAGTGCCCCATCATTGGTATCAGTGGGGAATAGTGCCCCATCATTGGTATCAGTGGGAGGAATAGTGCCCCATCATTGGTGTCAGTGGGAGATATAATGCCCCATCATTGGTATCAGTGGTATGAATAGTGCCCCATCATTGGTGTCAGTGGGGAATAGTGCCCCATCATTGGTATCATAGTGCCCCATCATTGGTATCAGTGGTATGAATAGTGCCCCATCATTGGTGTCAGTGGGGGAATAGTGCCCCATCATTGGTGTCAGTGGTAGGAATAAGTGCCCCATCATTGGTATCAGTGGTATGAATAGTGCCCCATCATTGGTATCAGTGGTAGGAATAGTGCCCCATCATTGGTGTCAGTGGGAGGAATAGTGCCCCATCATTGGTGTCAGTGGGAGGAATAGTGCCCCATCATTGGTGTCAGTGGGAGGAATAGTGCCCCATCATTGGTATCAGTGGGAGGAATAGTGCCCCATCATTGGTGTCAGTGGGAGGAATAGTGCCCCATCATTGGTGTCAGTGGGAGGAATAGTGCCCCATCATTGGTGTCAGTGGGAGGAATAGTGCCCCATCATTGGTATCAGTGGGAGGAATAGTGCCCCATCATTGGAATCAGTGGGAGGAATAGTGCCCCATCATTGGTGTCAGTGGGAGGAATAGTGCCCCATCATTGTATCAGTGGGAGGAATAGTGCCCCATCATTGGTGTCAGTGGGAGGAATAGTGCCCCATCATTGGTGTCAGTGGGAGGAATAGTGCCCCATCATTGGTGTCAGTGGGAGGAATAGTGCCCCATCATTGGTGTCAGTGGGAGGAATAGTGCCCCATCATTGGTGTCAGTGGGAGGAATAGTGCCCCATCATTGGTATCAGTGGGAGGAATAGTGCCCCATCATTGGTATCAGTGGGAGGAATAGTGCCCCATCATTGGTATCAGTGGGAGGAATAGTGCCCCATCATTGGTATCAGTGGGAGGAATAGTGCCCCATCATTGTATCAGTGGAGGAATAGTGCCCCATCATTGGTATCAGTGGGAGGAATAGTGCCCCATCATTGGTATCAGTGGAAGGAATAGTGCCCCATCATTGGTATCAGTGGAAGGAATAGTGCCCCATCATTGGTATCAGTGGAGGAATAGTGCCCCATCATTGGTATCAGTGGGAGGAATAGTGCCCCATCATTGGTATCAGTGGAAGGAATAGTGCCCCATCATTGGTATCAGTGGGAGGAATAGTGCCCCATCATTGGTATCAGTGGGAGGAATAGTGCCCCATCATTGGTATCAGTGGAGGAGGAATAGTGCCCCATCATTGGTATCAGTGGGAGGAATGTGTCCCCCCCCCCCCATCATTGGTATCAGTGAGGAATAGTGCCCCATCATTGGTATCAGTGGGAGGAATAGTGCCCCATCATTGGTATCAGTGGGAGGAATAGTGCCCCATCATTGGTATCAGTGGGAGGAATAGTGCCCCATCATTGGTATCAGTGGGGGAAATAGTGCCCCATCATTGGTATCAGTGGGAGTAATAGTGCTCCATCATTGGTATTAGTGGAAGGAATAGTGCCCCATCATTGGTATTAGTGGGGGGTATAGTGCCCCATCATTGGTATCAGTGGGGGGGAATAGAGCCCCATCATTGGTATCAGTGGGAGGAATAGTGCTCCATCATTGGTATTAGTGGAAGGAGGAGGAGGGAGAGGGAGGAGGAGGTGAAGGGGTTCATGTACCTAGTCACACACAGTGGGAGGATTAAGTTTAAGGTGTTAATGCTCCAATATGAAGGATAAAAGAGACAAAAGAGAGGGAGGGGTGTTAGAAAGAGAGAGGGGTGAGAGAGGGGGTGTTAGAAAGAGAGAGGGGTGATAAAGAAGGGGTGAGAGAGGGGGGTGTGATAAAGAGAGAGGGGTGAGAGAGAAGGGGTGAGAGAGGGTGGTGTGAGAAAGAGAGAGGGGTGAGAGAGAAGGGGTGAGATAGGGGGGTGTGAGAGAAGAGAGAGAGGGTGAGAGAGGGGGGTGTGAGAAAGAGAGAAGGGATGAAAAAGGGGGGGGGGAGAAAGAGAGAGGGGTGAGAGAGGGGGGGAAGTGAGAAAGAAAGAAGGGGTGAAAGAGGGGGGGTGAGAAAGAAAGAGGGGTGAGAGAGAAAGGGTGAGAGAGGGGGGGGTGTGAGAAAGAGAGAGAGGGGTGAAAGAGGGGGGGTGAGAGAGAGGGGTGTGAGAAAGAGAGAAGGGGTGAAAGGGGGGGGGGTGAGAAAGAGAGAGGGGTGAGAGAGAAGGGGTGAAAGAGGGAGGTGTTAGAAAGAGAGAGGGGTGAGAGAGAAGGTGTGAAAGAGGGGAGGTGAGAAAGAGAGAGGGGTGAGAGAGAAGGGGTGAGAGAGAGGGGGGTGTGAGAAAGAGAGAGGGGTGAGAGAGAGAAGGGGTGAAAGGGGTGGGGGGGGGGTGAAAAAGAGAGGGGTGAGATAGAAGGGGTGAAAGAGGGGGTGTGTGAGAAAGAGAGAGGGGTGAGAGAGAAGGGGTGAAAGAGGGAGGGGGGTGAGAAAGAGAGAGAGGGTGAGAGAGAAGGGGTGAGAGAGGGGGTGTGAGAAAGAGAGAGAGGGGTGAGAGAGAAGGGGTGAGAGAGGGGTGTGAGAAAGAGAGAGGGGTGAGAGAGGGGGGTGTGAGAAAGAGAGGGGTGAGAGAGAAGGGGTGTGAGAGAAGAGAGAGAGGGGTGAGAGAGAGAGGGGTGAGAGAGGGGGTGTGAGAAAGAGAGAGGGGTGAGAGAGAAGGGGGGGTGAGAGAGGGGTGTGAGAAAAGATAAAGGAGGGAATGATAAAGAGGGGGGATGAGAGAGAGACCCTTATAACTGCCCCTGTCTGCAGTCCCTCCTGTGCCTCCCTCTCCCAGTCCCAGTCAGTGGATAGGTGAGTGTGATGCCTAGTACCTCCCGCCTGTCCTCATCCTCTGTACAGGGCCCCCGGTCAGCCTATCCTCCTGTTGATGTGATTGCTGGGAGCAGAGAAGAGGTTGAATAAGGATTCCAGTCTTTGAGAGGTTCCAGGGATGCTGCGCAGGCTGTTGCTCAGTCAGGGAGTCGGTGGTGGTCTTTTCCCTCCCAGGCTCTCAGTCCTAGCCACCTTTGCGCTGCTTCACTTCCCCCTGGCCTCTGTCTCTGGGGCTGCCCTCTCTCATTGTGAAGCAAGGTGCTATTATCCTGCCCGCACCCCAAGGACGCCACTGTCGGCACTAGATTTAGCTAAGCTGCCCTGCTTCCCACCGCCACCAGACTCTCTATGACAAAGGGCTCAAGGGGCAACTGCTTTGGGTCCCACAATAATGCCTGGGCCCAGAGCAGCTGCCCCTTTTGCCACACGTTAAAGATGGCTCTAATGCTTTGTACTGGCTTAATTATTCTGGTGTTATGAAAAAAAAATTGGAGAAGAAAACTAACAATACTTTCTATAATTATATTCCCCACAGCCACAAAATATATAAATCCACTCTGTGTGCACCAAATGCCATTACAAACTCAGATATTACCTCATAACAGTAGAAGTAAAGTCATCACTGTGCTGTACATAGCCTGTGCAGAAAGCAGGGTTGTGGGAGGGGCCAAGCAGAAAACTACAGGAGGGGGTGGAGACAAGACCAGTCACCATGCACAATTTGCTAGAGCAGCAGTCATTGGTCTTAATACAGGAATTTGGTGCACAGAGGCAAAGTCTCACTTTCATATATATTGAAGAAGCCAGGTCATTGAGACTTTTGCAATGTTTTGTAAAGAGGAAAGTGCAGCCATATGTTGTTTTCTGATCATCATACAATTATCCAGCTCCTTAGGTTACACAAAGGTCCTACATATTACTTCTCTACCTGCTAACTTTGGCCACAATTACGCATATTTCACATAGGCGTTGTGTGGCAAAACCAGGCAGTTGAGGCCAATTTTTAACGTTCCTCAGCCGCCAGTCAAAACCCAGCAATGGACACCAGATGGCTCCATACACACTATGGCATCTGTGACTCCTTGCTTTGTAGTGAAAATAGTAGGGTATGGCATATTCAACAAGTGATACCGCCTAGCAACATGCCCTATAGAAGTGCATGGGGTTGCACTGCATCTGCATCTAGTTGACACAGTGAAGAGTAATTTCAGGATAAAATCCCTCTTTAAATAGACATGCAGAAGGTGAAATCTGATGACCTGCTAACCACAGGCCAGCTCCTGCTGACAGAGCAATCCACTAGGAGCCTTAGGAGCAGGAGAAGGATGGCCATACTATATAATGGTCATGAAAGGTCAATATATAGATCTATTTAGTATTAGCATACCATAGGAAGAATGTCCCATACATTGGTGGTCAGTGGGAAGAATGTCATTACATTGGTGGTCAATGGGAAGAATGTTCCTTACATTGGAGATTAGTGAGAAGAATGCTCCTCACATTGGTGGTCAGTGGGAAGAATGATCCTTACATTGGTGGTCAGTGGGAGGAATGTCCTTACATTGGTGATCAGTAGGAAGAATGTCCCTTACATTGGTAATCAATGGGAAGAATGTTCCTTACATTGGAGATCAGTGAGAAGAATGTTCCTTACATTCGTGATCAGTGGGAAGAATGTCCCTTACATTGGTGATCAGTGGGAAGAATGTCCCTTACATTGGTGATCAGTGGGAAGAATGTCCCTTACATTGGTGATCAGTGGGAAGAATGTCCCTTACATTGGTGGTCAATGGGAAGAATGTTCCTTACATTGGAGATCAGTGAGAAGAATGCTCCTCACATTGGTGGTCAGTGGGAAGAATGATCCTTATTATGGTGGTCAGTGGGAAGAATGCTCCTTACATTGGTGGTCAGTGGGAAGAATGATCCTTTTATTGGTGCTCAGTGGGAGGAATATCCTTACATTGGTGGTCAATGGGAAGAATGTTCCTTAAATTAGAGATCAGTGAGAAGAATGCTCCTCACATTGGTGGTCAGTGGGAAGAATGATCCTTACATTTGTGACCAATAGGAAGAATGCTCCTTAAGTTGGTGGTCAGTGAAAAAAAAACCCTTATATTGGTGGTCAATAGGAAGAATGCTCCTTACATTGGTAGTCCATGAGAAGAATGTTCCTTACATTGGAAATCAGTGAGAAGAATGCTCCTCACATTGGTGGTCAGTGAGAGGAATGTCCTTACATTGGTGATCAGTGAGAGGAATGTCCTAAAATTGGTGGTCAGTGGGAGGAATGTCCTTTACATTAGTGGTCAATGGGAAGAATGTCCTTACATTGGAGATCAGTGAGAAGAATGCTCCTCACATTGGTCGTCAGTGGGAAGAATGATCCTTATATTTGTGGCCAATAGGAAGAATGCACCTTAAGTTGGTGATCAGTGAAAAAACAATTCTTACATTGGTGGTCCATGAGAAGAATGTTCCTTACATTGGTGGTCAGTGGGAACAATGCCCTCCTTACAGGCAGGAAGACCATTGGTGTCAATGGTTACTTATCTGAGAGGTCAAAAATGCTCAGTGCTCTGGAGGAACCCTAGAATTTAAAAAAACCTTGGTGAGAAATAATGGTCTAAGGTCTGCTTTAAGTATGGTTATACTTGGTTTACCATTTCTACAATTTGTCAAATGCAGCTGAAATTGAGGGATAAGTGAATATTGCCTAAATACATTCATCCTGTGTATTCTATTTAAATCTTGGTGTGTTTTGTGTATTTCCTCCAGATCTGTACAGCAATCCAATGTGAATCTTTGCCTCTGTGCAGGAACGTCCTGTAATAAAAGACCAATCACTGCTGTTCTCTCACATTGTGCAGGGTGACTGGTCTTGACTCCACCCCCTCCTGTAGTTTTCTGCAGGCAGCCTGTAGTGGATGGATCTGCTTGGCCCCTCCCACAAACTTGTTCTTTGCACAGGCTATGTACAACACAGTGATGATTTTACTACTACACTTACAAGGTAATATCTGGTTTGCAAAAGCTTTTGGTGCACACAAACTGGATTTATATCTTTTGTGGCTATTAAAGAATATACAGTAATTATATGAAAGTATTATTGCCCAGAGTTTAGCTTTAAATCACTAAAGCTTTTCTTTTTTTCCAATGGCAGGTTTGTACAATGCTTATCCAAAGTGGTAATACCCAAGTGACTCTTGGAATAGATTCTAGATGGTCAAATCAAAAGACAATTCCATTTCTGCATATCTTTACCCTAATGTCACCATCATTTCTTATCGTTAGCATAACAAGTGAGTCTTTAGCTTGTGAAGTAAATATGCAGGCCTTGGCACGATTGCAAACAAAGTAACGACAAGCGACATTTTGAAACCCTGAATTTCCATATCTCCTATTTGTGAATATGAACTCAAAAAAGTTGACCTGCTGTGACTACTATCTTCATATCCCATCAAATGCGGAAGTAAAAGCCATTCCCTTTAGTACCTTGCCTCCATATGTTTCTTCAGAAGTTCCACCAGATGGATAACTACATTGATGGCAACACCCCTCATGTTATCTTTGTGTCGCCTGTAACCAGAGGTTCACTTCAGATAAACCACAACCTGAATACATTGAACAAGGAGTCCACAAAGCAGATGTTCTGTGGGGGAAACCACAGAACCTGTTTTGCTGGAACTCCAAATACCTTCATGGCTGGAGAAAAGGACAGCGCTGAGGATTGTTTTGTCCCTATAAGATCCTCCAGAGAAATTGCTTCAACCATTTTGCAACTATCACGGACAACCAATGAGAAGGCAGCATATAGTTATGATGAAAACACCAGTCCAAAATGTGAAGACACTCTTCTATTTAATCTAAGAGTGTTTGACATCAGGGCCAGGGCTATATATATGTACAAAAAACACAATGTACCTACTGCCGGCTCAACAAGTCAGAGTTTCTGGAGAACAAGATTCACCTAGAATCATGGACACATTTTCTCCCAGCCATGGAATAATGAAATATAAATGCAATAAACTGGAGCAAAGAATTCTTGTCAAAAACACAAGGCCAGATATACCTCTTTCCCAGCATGAACGACTTATTCATTTGGATAAGGATAATATTTTACCCAACGGTGTCTTAATTCCACAGCACAGCTTAAGAGAGCAAACTTACAATGCAACCCAATTCTCTAAAATACAACCAGAGCTAAATCCATCACACAGCCGCAGTCTACAATATCACCAGGTAAAATGTCCAGATTCCTAAATTAAAATATATCAGTTTCAATTTATCTCATTTTTTTCTTATTTTTGCTGTTGTGTCCATCTGAGACAGATTTATCTTCCTTTCCTGTCCTATACACACACAACAGGAAATTTCCCATAATGAGGGAATGATGTATAAAGCCTATAGATACAGTAAATAATAGCATAGCTCATTGTATACAAACTGTAATTCATACAACTACCTCTTTTATACTATCATTACACTAATGATTATTTATATGTAAAGAGATTATCATTTATAATACATAACATATAGTCATGTTATAAATATGTTACAGATAGATAGATAGATAGATAGATAGATAGATAGATAGATAGATAGATAGATAGATAGATCCGAAACTAGGCAAAATGCCCCCTCACCTCTACAGGGCCAAAAAGCTTTTCTCACAAAATATCGCACCAACCAGGAACCAGGACCCACATCAGAAGGTATCAGGTACAGCGATGGATAAATCCCTCTCACTGATGGATACTGACACAACAGGAACCCTCTCCAGAGCAGTATAATAAAGGATCAGCCAATTCACATGCAGCCAGAAAAAATAAAGAGAGATGCTCCCATAGTGTAATACCGTAGTTATTTAATTTAAAGAAGTAAAACCGAATCCCCACTCCCACATGTGTATAGGAGTACCAATATGGCGTCCACGCCAGAAATTGTGTCACCACGTGGTTTTGGATTTTCACTTCAATCCATTTGTCACTATTTTCAATTATAATCTGTATGGTTTCTGATTGTCTTCTTTAGCAACGGTTCTAGTTGCGCTGCACAAGTTCTGTAGCTTATTTTCATGTTACAATAAGCACTGTCTTTTTGGGATCCCATTTTATGGATCATATCACTTTTCATGTTGGCACGTTCTAATTGATATTAAGTAGTTTTTATATTTTCACCCACAGTCACCTATTTATCAGTGGTATACCTAGGTTACGCCTTTTTTGTTTGGGTGTTTTTTCACTTTTACTATCCAAATTGTTTTATGTCCATTCTATTCTATATTGAGATCTGGTGATAATTTCTGATTTGGTATATATAACCACTTTATTTTAGTTTATATTTACGAATTAGTACATTGAGAGGGGGACTTCTTTAAGGCGATTATATTATATGTTCTTCTTATACTTGGAGATAGCGCAGCACCAATTAGCCTTAAATCTGTACATTTTCCCATGTGGTATATGGTAAGGTGTTAGTGGCTTCTCGCAGTTTGTTTTGGGGGTCAGGAGCGAGAGGGAGGACCACATAGATATATTCTTGCTCGAATGTGTTTATTACACCCCAGTCACATTGGGTGCGACTTGGCACGCGATTTGCATGCCCTGTGGCTTGCAAATCCTATGCCAAGTCGCACCCTATTGTTCACTATTACAGCGGTCATATCAGTGTGGTTCCGACTTGGTCGGAGCCACACCGATTTCTAAAGTAGTACATGCACTAACCCAGCACGCACACTACGCTCTTCACAAGACCTCCTTCTCTCTAATTCCCTGGTCTCCTCCTCCCATGCCCACCTCCAGGACTTCTCCAGGGTGTCACCCATCCTCTGGAACTCCCTGCCCCAACCCATCAGATTATCACCTACTCTCCTCTCCTTTAGGCGCACCCTGAAAACCCATCTCTTCAGGGAAGCCTACCCCACCCCCTGCTAACTTGCCAACCTCCTCCACTCTTCCTACCACACCATCCCCCACAGCTATCTCCTCCTGTGCCCCCATCCCCTCCCTCCTAGATTGTAAGCTGGAAAGAGCAGGGCCCTCGATCCCCTCATGTTTTGCATTGTATTGGTATTGTTCTGTCACATGTTCTGTCCCCCTTTGTAATGTACAGCGCTGAGCGAACTATTGGCGCTTTATAAATACTGTATAATAATAATAATAATGCACTACTTTTGTTGCGATTTGCATAGACATCTGTGTCAGATGTCTTGCAAATCACAGCTGAAATCACAACTGAAATCAACAGATCGTACGGCTTCACTGTAAGTCACACGATTTCAAAATCGGCTTTGATGTGACCGGGGGCTGAAGGTGTTATGTGTTTACTATCTTCTCCCATTGACCCCCCCCCCCCCCCCCCCCCCCCAACCCAGCTAAGGCTTAGCCAGGACCTCAATGTCTTCTTAGTTGCACTTCTAGCAATACTGCTCCAGAGGCAGAGTCCACTTCACAGGCGTCTCCTTCAGCAGAACTGGACCTAGGACCACTGTCCTGCTTCCTCAGGCCTCAGGCTATTTATGGGCTCTTCAGCCACCTACTGGGTACAGTCGTTGGCTGGAGTTCCATAAATATTCAGGCTGCTTAGTCTGTTTTTTGTCCCATTATAATTCTAGAATCCTCTGGAATGCAGGGGGAATTAATCAGAGCAGCAGACTGTGAGACATTAATCAGCCCTAAACAATCAACCCACGCTCCACTGACTACAGAGGAACTAGCTAAAAACCTGATAGGGGTTCTAACCACTCACCACTCCATCCAAAAAAAAAAAAAAAAGGATCTGGCCCTAGATGCACATAAAAGTACAATATAAAATGACTGTATGTTTTTCTATGGGGTTTTTTAGACTAAAAATGCAATGCATTTTTTTTCTAACATTACAGTTGAGTATTTCATATTACCAATGTGCAGCTAGAGAGTTCTAGGCAAGAACTACAGCTTTAT